TTTTCTGTTTTTTTTAAATATTTTTCGCAGTTACTATTATTTTTTTTTTGAAGAAACTTTTTGCATCACAAAAGTTAAGTTTTTAAGACAAGGAATAAAGTTTAACAAGAAAGAAAGTTAGCTTCGGTAAGCCGAAGCTTATATACCCTTGCAGCTATAATTATTAAATTTAAAAACACAAAAAATGATATTCCCAATAGTATAAGATAATATGTCAAAAAACACCGAAGCTTAATTTGTTTCATATTATTTTCCTACAAATTTTCCGATCGTTCATATGGCAGCTATATGATATAGTCGTCCGATTTTGATAAAATAAATTCGAAATTCAGAACTAATTAAAAAATGTTATTTCCAAGCGTAGGAGGTTATATGTTAAAAAACACCGAAGCTATAATTTGTTTCATATTATTTTTCCACCAATTTTCGATCGTTCCTATGGCACATATATGATATAGTCGTCCGATTTCGACAAAATTTAATTCAAAATTCAAAACTAATTAAAAAATGTTATTTTCAAGCTAAGGAAGTTATATGCTAAAAAACACCAAAGATATAATTTTTTAAAATTTTTTTGTCCGAATATTCCTATGGGAGCTATAAGATATAGTTGTCCTATCCGGCTGGCTCCGACTTATATACTACCTGCAAAAGATATAAGACTTTTGGGAAAGTTTAAGCCCGATAGCTTTAAAACTGAGAGACTAGTTTGCGTAGAAACGGACGGACAGACGGCTAGATCGACTCGTCTAGTCATGCTGATCAAGAATATATTTACTTTATGGGGTCGGAAACGTCTCCTTCACTGCGTTGCAAACTTCTGACTGAAATCAATATACCCTCTGCAAGGGTATAAATAGTAGATTTTCACACAGATTCGTCCTTTTCAATAAGTACTGAATGGGCTAAGAAAAGTATTGTATCATTCAAACGGCATTTAAACTACTGTTTACGTCAAAAGGTCGTTTAGTTTCAGGAGGCAGTGTCGAGCGGCAGTTTTATCCAGATGTGTACATCTCGCGCGCTCGCACTGCCGTCCGCTCTCCCTCTCCATCTAAGTCAGCTCCGCTCTGGAGCGCTTAAGTTAAGTTAGGCTTAACTAGTTCTTATTTCCAAGTGAACCAATAAACATCTATGCACGTCGCGTAAAAACCCCAAGGTACCCCTGTGTTTTTTGCGTACAATTCGGTCTTGGGACTTCTGCTATTCTCAGCGATCAACCCACCCGCCCCAACAATTACCTTCATTGATGTCAAAGTTTACAAGAAGTAAGTTCAAATTATGAGTATATTTAACAGTGTATATACAAATATATTTATATACACCAGTTAACGTTAATTAGACCTCAACCTTTATGTTTAGGCAAATACGATTTAACAGCAGCACGTATAATCAAAACAAATCTTAACATAACTTTTTTTTACGTTCGAAAAAAAAATATATCTTTAGTTAGTTTATTTACTTTTGGTATCAACACTAGAAATTGCACATAGACATATATCTTATCATTTTCTTTATCAATGTTATGCACCCTTGCACGAAACTGTTTAATAACATTATAATGGGATCTGAAATATAATAGTGACTTGGAAGAAACCCATTGAGAAGGGGGAGCAGTTAAAATGAAAGAAGGGGTCAAAAACAATGACAACTTTCGGAGGGAGAGTATGTGGCCGAAATACAGCCCCATCGTGTTACGATCAAGCGACAGTTAAGCTTGTTAAACAGTGAAGACAGAAGACTGACGAACTTACATATTCGATCCACTTTTCAGGATTGATTAGTTTATTCTCGTTATGTTGGAGAGGGAGTGCCCCAGCCGGACTGGGGCGCAACGTCGGAGTTTTCATATATTTTGTTTTTGTTAAGTATTGCTAGAATCATCAGTATTACGGTTTTAGAATTGATGATATGGCATAGCTTTCATTACCAAAAATAATTTGACTGTGTAGGACAACTGATTTAAGTAGTACCAATATAATTTGTTTTTCTGTTAAGTCAAAATTCGTTAGCTCAATAAGGCCTCTCGATCAGGACATTGTCGGCATAACGTGTGACGGCGGCATAACAACTGGCGGTGTCAAGATATTCCGATTACTCTGCTGATCAGTGATCTCATGACAGGGGGGAGGGGGCAAACTGATTGTTCACATACAGCCGACACTATCCGTTTGTATTAGGCAATGCCAGGTTGCTCGATAGGTTCGAGTCTGTGTGGATACCACACAAAGCTATTTCCGTCTGTCTGCGAGCGAGCCTAACTGTTTTACGATGGCTGGGAGAAAGGGGGCTTCGGACACCACCTTCTACAGAAAATCAGCGCTCCGGTGAAGGCTGTAGTCCTGAGAAAGTCAGAAAGACTTGGGCGGAGCTCATAGCTCCAGTGGAGGCAAGTTGAATCCATCCATAGAACTCATCTTTTTCGAGATTTTAAGTAGATCTTTGGGGGCTTTATTTCGGACGGTTTCTTGACCCGTACATACCCTTCCATACCAGTGAACCGGATTTAAGAGTTCGTTTTTTCTGTGTCAAGTACTTGTCAGCTGAAAAACAGCTTGTGCATAAAAATAAGCATAGTCAGCAAATAGTCATTTAATCGTCTACACATTTAAGTCGTAGTCATTGTCTTTGTCCGTCCTTTAAATATTTTGAGGATTTTTTTTTATTCGGTTGTTTTTCTGAGTCAGAGTCTTATTACAGTCAGAGTCTTATTACCGCGGTACGAGCTGAGGCAGCGCAACCGTGAACCGCTAGCTTGTAAGTCACTTTCAACTTTAATATGAACGAAAAAAGAACTTGAGTTGACCAGCTGGACGAGTAAACTAACTAACATCGACTTCTCATTTATTTGGAACTTAACGTATTTTAAAATAACTATCACATGGTAAATTTATCGGCACTTGTTCCCTACACAACATGGCGGCAGTGACTGTTTTCAATCTTTGGATAAACAAACTGACAAGTGAAAATAAGAGAAAAATATAAATTCGACAACTTACGGATAGATGACGACTAAACGGAAAACTAAACCGGAAAAAAAAATAATGAAACAAGGATGGATTGAAACTAAAACTAAAAAAAACAAGGTAGAACGCTATAGTCGAGTACCTCGACTATCAGATACCCGTTACTCAGCTAATGGGACCAAAGGGAAATGGAGATATGCAAGCAGCAAAGCGAGATTGAAATGCGCCCCCTACCGGCGGTAGACAGATTTAAGCGTTATGGACGTTAGAGTGGGCGTGGCAAACTTTTTTTTGGGTCAATCGATAGGTATTGATGAGAACAATACATTTCAGTTCAAATTGTTATTCTTGCATCAAAACTGTAGGAGCCACAGTTTTGGGCGGTTTGTGGGCGTTAGATTAGGCGTGGCACTCTGCTGAAATAAACTTGCGCTGCGCAGGAATCTCAGGAATCTGAATGCCTAATCCCAGTATTGTAGCTTGCATAGTTTCCGAGATCTCAGCGTTCATACGGACAGACGGACAGACGGACGGACGGACAGACGGACAGACGGACATGGCTAGTTCGACTCGTCTAGTGATCCTGATCAAGAATATATATACGTTATGGGGTCGGAAACGCTTCCTTCTTCCTGTTACATACTCTCCGACAAATCTAGTATACCCTTTTACTCTACGAGTAACGGTACCTTTTCGAGGACATATTACTTTTTGTTATTATTGGGTGGTTATTTTAAAGTATTCAATTTCATTACCTCGCATTTTTTTATGAAGTAAGGATTTATATGATGCTGCTGTCAATCTTTTCATATTGTTCAAACATTTTAAGCATGTAAAATTTGTAAACCTTTATATTGTGAACTAATGATATCAATTAAATGGCGAATATTCTCAACTATTTTAATAATGGTAGTGGTGACACTTATATATTTCGGATGCCAGACTGGTTATTGTTCTACCGATTGTTAAAGGAAGGAAAGTAGAATCGAAATTGTTTCATTGACTTTTGTAATTTTTCAATTTTGAAAAGATTGACTTAGTGATTGCGGCATTGAAAACTTATGTTATGTTGTCTAGAATTTTGGGAAGAGTTATTTTTAAAAATTTAGTATTAAGATCGTTCAGGGTATTCGGTATAATATGTAATTTGGCTTCTAAAAATCACATTGACTTGCACAAATACATTCAAAACAAAATATGTTTCTGGCAACGGATTCAAAAGTCAAATACGAGTTAAAGAATTTCTTTATTATAGTCGTCCGCATCATTACGTATTACAGATTTTGTATTGCCGATCTCCAAGTTTCTTTCTCTTGTGACTTGTCAAGTTTATATTGCCCGGGTAAGCTTAGAACCAAAATAAATTTAAATTTAAACTTACCAAAAATAAATTTTTTTACCCGTTTCCTTTCAAATTTAAAAATATAACTTAAATGAATAGTTTGGTTGGATTATATTTACTTTAACTAAAATATATCTTATCTGGTGGCTTTGATTGATTTTCCGTTTTAGATACTTGTAATAATTTGTGGATAAAGCCGTTGGTTGGACAGTACGAAGAGTTGTGATTTGAATAAATTGATGCTAGGGACTCAACTCCCCGTCAAACCTTAAAAAATGTAATTTTATATTTTATGTTCTGATTTTGGCCGCACTTCTTATCACAAATAATCTATGCTTTAAACAATGGAAAACGCCGTAGTCGGTGCGCACTTTATGATTGGCCAATAAAAAGAGCTGTGACTTGAAAAAACAACTATGCCGGTGCTATGTTCAACTTAAGGTTTTTTTAGTTATAAACGGGTGCTAAAGCCCCAACACCGCAGCAAAACTTCACAAAAATTTAATTTTGGATTTTATGTTCTGATGTTGGCCGCACTTCTTATCTATCTAATAATCTATGCTTTATACAAGGGAAAACAACTTAGTCAATGGCCTTGACTTTCAGATACCCGTTACTCAGCTAAGGGTGCGAGGGAGATGAATATATCCAAGCGGAAACAGGTCCGATTTAATAATTTTTTTTTTTTACAGGTATATTCTGTTTCATACCACGGTTGGGGGAAAACAAGAGATTGCTATTCTTGTCACATACGGTAAGCACAATAGTCATTCGTGTACTTTAAAATTTAAACTTCATTTATAAGTCAACAAATACTAAAGGTATACCGAATTGGATTTTTCCAAAATTAAAATAAACATTTCTGAAACATATTTAAAGCATAAAGCATAATGACTTATTCTTTTTAATTTTTTGGCATACATTTTCGTATAATGATTCCTACACTTTATTAAATAAAGGAAATATTAGTTTTTTTTTAATTTTTGTGAAGTTTTAGTAATAGTAATCTAACGACCCACGCAGTTATACTTGCTTATTGTTCGATTTTTCAAGTGCAAATATGTTTTTGATTGTGCTCACAGGATATTTTAGGGTTCAATTTAAACAAGCAATGGTTCAACTAAAAACAAATAAGAAAATTGTGCGTTTAATATAACATACTGTATTAATCGATAATTTACCTAATATTTAGTTTTTCTTGCATATTTTCTATAGATGGATAATGCCAAACTTGTATATACATTCTTGGCAGTACTAGGTACAGCGCAAATATTTAAGGTAAGACTAAAACTTCATTTTCAAAAGTCTTAGCTGCTTATATATCATATAAAAATAGGAAAGGAAGCTAACATCAGTAAATCAAAGATTATATGAATTATGTATATGCAGATGAAATGCAGATGTAGATTACAAAAACCTTATAAGCCTTACAGACTTCCCGTTCTTTGTGGAGGCTTTTGGTTATAGTTCTCCGATCCGGCTCGATCCGACTACTACCTGCAATAAAATGAAAACTTTTATGAAAGTTTCGTTCCGATAGATGTAACAATGAACAAAAAAGGACGCTATAGTCGATTGACTCGACTATCAGATACCCGTTACTCAGCTAAAAGAACCAAAGGGAGATGGAGTTATGCAAGCAGTAAAGCGCGATTGTAATGCGCCATTTACCCACAATCTCAATGCATGGTTACGTGGGCGGCAGTCAATTGATTTAAATCCATTTGACTTAAATCGGACAGACAGACAGACAGACATGGCTAAATCGACTCGTTCAACGTTACTGATCTAGTATATATTACTTTATAGGTCGGAAACGCTTCTCTATCTAATTTAACGTATTAACTATCGGTTCGACTCAAGCCATCCCAGGCACGACGATAGACATTGACAAATTAAAAAATCACACCCTAAAAATAAAGCGCATGCAAATTTTGTTGTTGCATGGATGAACAGGTGTAGTATGAACAGTGTGCAAATTAATTAATTCACTTGCGAAAAGTTTAAAAAAATGGTTTTTTATTTTTTATTCACTAAGTTACAACTTTACAACTTTTCCTTAATACCGACTTTTATTCTACTGTTCACAATATTTTCTATTGAACCGATCTTCTCGGATGCAAAAACGGACTGCCTGGTCAAGGGCCGATTATCTGATAAACAAACCTCGGTTTAAGAGAATTGGGGAACTCATTAAGAGTTGGACAAGGGTTGGACTCAAGAGAGCCGGGAAATCGGATGATCAAATTCTCTGCTCGATTGCCAAACGGATTACGCTTCAGTTTTGGGGCTCGCCGGGTGTTGACCGGATCCATTCTTTGGTTTGAGGTTGATTCACTCATATTGTTTATTTAATTGGTGTCGGATAATTCATCGACGGCTTGTTCAGGATTTTTTTATCCCAAACTTGAAATTTTGTCGGATACTTCAACGACGGCGTGTTCAGGATTTTTGAATGCCAAACTAGAATTTTTGTCGGATACTTCAACGACGGCGTGTTCAGGATATTTAAATCCCAAACTTGTTTTGCTTCGATTTGCCTCTTTAGACTCAGTTCTGATTTTGAGCATTTCATCAACGTATTTTTGTATAATAAATTTCTTTAATGGAAGAATTGTTTTTTCTTCAGATAAGGAAAGTTGCTTTAAAGAACTGTCATTATCATAAATCAATTTTTCTTCTTTTCCCCCATATCTTATTACTCCTTTTTCTGTGTCTATTACAGCTCCTATTTTTTTTCAATATGTAGGTTGTAACCTATTAGAAAGTCTGATTTTAACCCATCTATTTCATAAAATGTGTAACGCGTATCGAATATCGTTACCATTTGATAATATTTAATTGTAGAATATCCATTGACCGTAGATACTCTTTTATATATAGGAAGCTCGTTTTTGTTTTTATATAACCCTGTTCTGATATAGCAGGAGGTTGCTCCTGTGTTAATTAAAATTTTAAGTTTTTTATTTATCTTACTATCGTATCTTGTTAAGTAGGGTAGTCCTACTCCGGATTCTATCCTAAAAAATGGTCTTCTTCGATATTATTTAATCGCATAGTTTTATTAGCCGGTTGGTTAACCGTACCTGTTGGTTCTCTTTTGTTCTGCGGATTATTTTGCGGAGTTGTTTGTGTCTCCTGCTTTTTATTTTGATTCCATTTATTCTGGTTATAGTTGTTGTTGCCATAACTGTTATAACCCTGATTGTACTTTGGCCTACTCTGAATCTGTAAAGATTCATCTACTTCCATCGGTTCTGGCTTGTTTTGTTGAGCTTTATTGGAATTCCAATGATTATGGGAATTATATTGAGGATTATACTGTCTGCCCTGATTCCAATTATAATTTTTATTCTGATTATATATCGGGTTGGTTAAATTTCAAGTTGTTAGTATTCCTCTGATTGCTATTATAGTTATTATGGTTACCTTTCCTGGGATTTTTATTTGAGTTTTGGTACCCGAATAAATTTGACTCATAGTTCTTGCGCTGTGATGATGTAAAATTGTTTGCAAATCATTGTTTGTTCTCAAATCATTGCTTTTAGTTCTTGTACTCCATAGCGTTCGGTAAATCTGGTGGATTCATAGAAAATATTACGTCTTAGATATGGCCGTTGTGGCCAGTTATGAATACCCTTAGTGCTGTCTTTTTGTGTTTTTCGTTCATTTCAGCAGTTAATGGTTTATTTCTGCCGTAAGTCATAATGGTTTTATTTATTTTATTAACTAACCCATAATATTCCATTATGGGCAGATTCCCATGACTTAGCACTCCTAAGTCTTGTTCAACTATATGGATTGGACATTTGTCGGTAAAAACAAAGTCCAACCTTGCCATTATCGCGTCAAAATTTAATACATCCCATTGTGTGTTAGGGCATCGTTTGCTGTACCAGTTATTTTGTTTCTCAAGATTGACAATGCAGAAAAGAATCTTTCGCTACCTCTAGCATATTGCCCCATGGCTTTTTCTGCTGATTCCCTCCAACTCACATATTTGTCTTCTTCTCCTTTAAATTCCCTGACTGATTTGATAATATCGAATGAAGTTTCACATTTAATATTTTGGTCAATGACTTCTACTTGAAAATCTTCAACCTTTTTTATATTTTGATTTAGTTGTGCTTTTAAACTTACGATCTCATTTCTTAAAGGATTCAACTCATTATTTACAATATGTGCAATTAAATCGCTCACTTGGTTATTAGCTTGGCTGCTAGAAGCCATTGCAGGTTGGGGTTGAGGCATGGTGAGAATTCTTTCAAAATCGTTAATAAGGTCTTCCACCTTGTTTGATTTTATTTAAAAATTTTTCTTATAGTACTTAAATAAAAAAATAAACAGTATACGCTCACTAATTGTCTTCTTTTCTTCCTGGGTTTATTATGAGGTCTTCTGTTTTCCTTGATGATCCTGCTGGGGTCGTCCTTCTTGGTTGTTTTTAGCGAGGGATGGCCCTCAGCTCTTCCTTCAATTTATTTTTGTGGTTGTTTAATTTTTGCGAGGGTTTGCCCTCAGCCTTCCTTCGGTTTGTTTTCTGATGTCACTATTTAGCGAGGGATTGCCCTCAGCTCCTCCCTTTTGTTGAATTTGTATTTTTTAGATTTGTTATTGTATTTGGCTTTTGCTTCTCAGTTGATTTTTTTTTGTATCAAATCTCACAGTTTTAAAATTTTAGTTTAATTTGGTGAATTATTTTTGGAGACCGTTTAGTTTTTTTGTTGAACAGTAGGTTTATTATGCCGATTATTAATTAGCGGATTGTTGTAAGCAAAGGGGATTATTTCATTTATTACTTTCCTCCTATGTTTTTAGCACGAACTTTTCGTCGGTTGGTTAAGTTTTTATTTGACCACGCAAGTTCCTTTTTACTTTAAAACCGTTAGTTATTTATATTAAAGCTTTTAATTGGAACAATTTAAGCGTGGCCCCACGTTGGGCGCCAATAAATTATTTCACTTGCTAATAATTTAAAAAAATTTATTTTTATTTTTTATTCACTAAGTTACAACTTTACAACTTTTCCTTAATACCGACTTTTATTCTACTGTTCACAATATTTTCTATTGAACCGATCTTCTCGGATGCAAAAACGGACTGCCTGGCCAAGGGCCGATTATCTGATAAACAAACCTCGGTTTGGACAAGGGTTGGACTCAAGAGAATCGGGAAATCGGATGATCCGCTGCAGTTTTGGGGCTCGCCGGGTGTTGACCGGATGCTTGTGTTTACATTAGCTGGACCCATCTTAGTTTATGTTAGAAGGACTCCGGCGCAATTGAATCTTAATAATGAACTTCGATTGAAGTGGGGGAGCTAATTGGGATTCTGTGGGAACGCTGAGTAAGGGGATCCCGGCAAAGAATTGTTTATAAGAAATTGTTTACGACTTGGGTAAGGCGGCTGGGCGCTCAAGCTGGAAAGCGTTCTCAGCTAAGAATTGTATATGAAGAGTTTGTTTATAAATTGGGTAAGGAGGCTGGGATCATGAGCTGGATAACTTGCATTGCCCACATACTGAGTACACACTGTACTCTTGGCAACAATTTTAATGTCAGCTCTCTTTAACTACAAACGAAATTTAACCACACACGCCATAAGCGAGTGATAAGCGGCTGCGTCGGCTTGTTTACAAAGCCTGTAGCAACAGCAAAAAATTGATTCCAATGTGTGCGCACATAACAATTCCTCTCTCCGAGCGCCACTCTCAGCTATGAATATAAGCTGGCATATACGGCTGCTGCACAACTGCCGGCTTGACGAAAAGCGATACCTGCGCAGTTTAGGACCAAGTAATATCTTAGCGAATTAAAGGGGGCAATTAAGCCTCCTTAACCAAGTCACCCAATTTTTTCATATTCCGTTATGTTCGTTGCGACGTCCACATCTCCTCCACATCTTGCTGTCTCGCTCTGTGGCTTATGGAAATAGCCAATCCGTTAAGTTTGACTGCATACCACCATGGAGAATTTGTATTTTTGTTTTTTGGTTTAAGTATATACAATTTAAAGGAACTAAACTAAAAAACGGAACCACTTTTTATAAAATAAATTTTTTTCATTTCAATCATATAAAAAAAAATTTTTTTTTAATGTTTTTTCTTATAAAAATACAAAACTCTTAAAATAATTTTAAAACAATATTTATTTAATAACAAACATAATTGACATATATGACAGACATAATCACTTTGTAACTTCATTTAGAAACACAAATTAACTTAAAGACTTTGGTTTTTTAAGGTTAAAGCTTACACACAATCAATAAATACAATA